AATAATAAATTATTATTTTTATTATTATAATATCTACATAAACAACGAAAAACAAAAAAATCATTCATTACAATTTGTCGTGATGCACGATTATAGCAAAATTATTGTGAATAACTGATTGATATTAAATGAAAGCAGTTACAATTTCTGAAGTAACGTATTTTTGACATCGAAAAAATATTTCTTGGTCGGACAAGTGCATAGTCAATAAGTGTCTTCATGGGCAACGTCCGTAAATACCATACACCTGGATGCTCACCGACTTGCTCGGCTCACCTCTTTTCTCCGGCTCACCGGCTCAACTCAGCTCAGCTGGTTCAACTGAGCTCACTTTTTGTTCTCTGCTTGCTTGCTCGGCTCACTTGTCCGGATATTTGTCAGCTCACTTCTTGGCTCACCTGGATGTTTCTGCTAAGTTAGCTGGCTCACTTGCGTGTTCCGTGATTCTGTATGATCCCCACTTCCACTTGGGACGTCACTTTTCGTCGACCCAAAAAACGAAAAAAATGGGATCGATGAAAAATGACGTCCCCACTTCTACTTGGGACGTCACTTTCCATCAACCCAAAAAAACGAAAAAATGGGGTCGATAAAAAGTGACAGGACAAGTGGAAGTGGGGACAATGCAGAGTCACGGGACAAGCTAAGCCGGCTCACCAAGGTGAGGCAGCTCACTTAGAAGACGCATGCAGGTAGGCGAAGAAGTGAGCCGATAAATATCCGGAAAGGGTGAGCTGAGCAAGCAAGCGGAGAACAAAAAATAGGTGAGACAAGCTAACTAAAAAAAAAAAAAGGGTGAGCTGAGCAGGCGGGTGAGCCATAGGTAAGCAAGCTGGGGCTATGATCTAATTTTCATTCATTTATTGACGTGTAGAAACTTCGTCTTAGACTTAGTAGTGGACAAATGAGTAAGAATAGTTTTCATTTTTACGTCTTTCATCATTTATTTTGAAATAATTATGAAAAGAAATTTAACAAGTATTAATTACCAAGAAATCTTCCGCTTATTAAAACACATTTATAATTAGCAAATAGTTTTCGGAATTAATCAATTATCTTTTAAGCGGCTGAGGGTCGTGCAGCTCCTTGTACGATGCAATGTGTTTCACATTCAAGTTGAGATGGGAAAATATTTTCGTTGCCTCCACAGCCATGGTAGTCAAGAACTTCACAGAAACCAGTTATGAAGTTATAGTAGTAATAAACTATGGAATCAGAAGGTCCCATTGAACCAGATGGTCCCATTGAACCGGAACATGGGAAGCCAACGTCAGGTGGAATATCGCAGTTGCTGTCTGAATTGATAGTTTGTTAAAATATTTCCATGATTTAATTAAAGTTTATACTCACATGGATCGCTACCGCAGTTTATGCTAGCAATTAATGCAGTCATGAAGAACAAAGCAATGTAAAATTTCATTTTAATTTTGAAGTTTCTTCACTTGCAGTGGATGAAGCTGAAGATATGAGTTAGGTTTGCTTGCGACAACATTATTTTATACTCACAAGTTTAAGAGAAAAAGTTAATTAGAAAAAATCACGAATTCTCGTTGTAGAATGTTAATTACTTGCCATAATTTATTGAAATTAGTCTCAACTTATAATGATTTCCAACGAAAATCGTGAAACTTTTAAACGAAAAATTTTATGCAAAATTTGTTAATAAGTATTTCAATAAAAATTTTAGCCCCATCATAAAAATATTTAAGACTCTTGAATCAAATTCAACATTGCCGTTCATGGTTCTACTGAACTATTTTAAACTTTTGTTAATCCAAATTCATTTTAAATATTAATTTCTCTGTTGCATTCTTGTTGTCAAAGGAACGAAATGGTTTTTCATCAAGCTAAACAAATATTTTTTTATCAGTAAGTAACTGTTTACGTCTTCGTTTGTTTAGCCAAATAATTGATCATCAGTGCAAGATTTTTTTATTATTCAAGTTTAAGCTGATTTTTTAATTGAAATTACGGAGGCCCACCTTTGGTGAGGTCACCGTATTGTATTCGACATTTTTTTTTGGAAAATTTTTTTTGCTTAAATATGCTT